ATTTTTCCTATACTTGTAAAATACATTCTAGGTAAGAGATTGCATAGACATTGAATTTTAAACCAATGACTCTGTTTCAGGTATGGATCAGGGGAGCCTATAAATGATCCTATTGCTGATCTGGCCAGTGAAGACAAGCTGGATTCGGACGGAAAAGACAGCAAGCGGACGGGTCAGATTTTGTGGATCCGTGGCTTGACCCGACTCCAGACTCAGGTATGTTGTAAAGAATAGAATCTTCTATTATAGTCAACATGTCTCATAAAACAAATCCTTTTTAAACAGAATGTGACCTGAGGAGTTTGATCATTACGGACTTCTTGATTGCTAAGACGGAATAAGAGATTTTTTTGGCAGTGATCTGTCTCAATGGGCAGTTGAGAAGTTGATTGATATGATCATAATTATGGGATGCTTTGTTTTTTTCTTTTTATAAGGATATCAAGACAATATGTCACTGCTGCTTTTGTTTAAGCAAAATATGTGAATTTAATTTCAGAACAGTAGGTAATATGCAATAAATGGCTTGTTTAGGATTGTTAGCTGTTTGGAAGGCTTTTTAGATATCTTATTTAGATAATAGACAGCAGTTGAAAAGGATACAGCCATTAGGTGCATAGTTTTGCTAAATCTTTTAGTTATGCAGAATGATAGAATTTAACTATATTCAAAAGGGGAAGAACCTATTCATTCAGTGGACTGCCAAAAAAGTATATGCTAAAAAGAACAAAAGGAATAAAGAATTATTTGTTTCCAACATATGTCACATTCTTTATGTAATAGTAACTCAGGTCACATTTCCACACAAACACACATCAGAGAATGATTTGACATTTCCTTGGGGTTTATCATGACAAGAAAAAAAAAAGAGAAAAGAAAAGAAATCTCTGGAACTCTTATATTTTCCTACCTGCAAAAAAGAATATTAATTAGCTGCTGGATTTTACCTTGTAATTACTCTGCTATGATAAAAAAAAGGGTAGCATTTGTGAAACTGACTTTCATTCACAGGTACAATTTTTTTTTATTATCCTATAAGGCATTTACGCAAAAAAAAATGAAGTTCATGAAAATTAAGTGGAATCTGAAATGAAAAATTTCCATTAAACAAAGACAGGTAGATTTTTTTTAAATTTCATTTACACAAAAAAAGAAAGAAAACAAATCTAGATTATGCCTCTCATTGTTGCCATTTTTATCATTACAATCAACATTATTACCTTGATGTCTGATAGTGTTGTGCACATCAGAATGAAAGTTTTAACAGGTTGGAGAATCTATGAGTTTAATCAAGGAAGAATTTTATTTTTGCCTTAGAAATCAATTTAATCATTTCTTTCTACTTCAAGTCAAATATGATGAAAGTAAGGAAATTGTCTAATAAAATGCAAGGTATCTTTGATTAAGATAGAGGCCAGGAGCACAGCTAGTCTCTCTTCACTGCTTGATCCAGTTCTTTCACTAAAATGTGATATGTTAGTAAAGCAGTATGAATGATAACATAGAAATGAGAATGATTTTTTTCTATTTTCTTTTTTTTTTTTTTTCCTTTTTTCTTTTTTAACAAGCTGTAGACTGAGATTTCTTATCACAGACGTTAATACTCTTTATATAAAATACTCTGATAATCCTTACTGATTTTCGTGATCATGGTGTTCACCTTTTGAAAATCAAGTGATATGAATGTGTAACTTTTTAACAGTAATGCTCTTTGCCCAACTGGAATGCAGTTTGTATTTCTAATTTTTATTTCCTGAACTAACTTTTCTTCCAAATGAGTTGAAAAAAAAAAAAAAAAAAGGCAGCCTGTAGGAGTCAGGAAGAAACTCCTCGCAGCTTTTTTTTTTTCTCTCTCTTGTAGCTTCTTCTGCCCTGTTTCTCCTAACAGGATTCTGGTGTGGACGGTCCTGAGCCAAGAGTTTCCACTTTTGTTTTTTCGTGTTATACTATTGTTCTGATCCAGATGCGGTGTTTTGTTGAAAGTGAACTTGTTTGATGCTGATGGATTGTCCATCCGTTTTGAGTTTTCAGAGGGATGGAGGCACTGGTGTGGTCCCCCCTTCCCAGATCCAGATTTTGACCTTTAAAAATGGAGTGAGGTTTTTTTGCATGGATACAGGCAAACACTTTCTTCACCTAGAAAAAAAATTTAAATGAACGTCTCAAGAATTTCTAAATGTTCATTTCCATTTGAAAATTTTCCAGAAGTATATCTGCTAATGAGAATCTCCCGTAGCTTTAGTTACCTTCTGTGGTGGAAGATTCACAAAATTCATTCATACTCTGAATACAGAGTTCAGATAATTCAATGATATCGATTTTTTTTTTTCTGTGCACACTTACGTACATAAAAGAACAACTACACAATTACCTAGATACAGAATGACCTCAATAAAGTGGACTCTACAAAGGCAGCAGCTTTCCAATTCTAAAACTAATGTTCCCCACCTTTCTGCTTCTCTGAGGCCCCCCCCCCCCCTAATGTGGATTTTTTAACAAGTGTCTACCTTGAACTCTCTTTCTCCCTCCCCTATCTTGCAATACCATGTCATCAAATGTATGTGTAACAAGATGAAAAATATATCTATGCAATATTTTAGTTAGTTGTATGTGAGCTGATTCATGGGTATTATACATATCAGAGTGGCATATTCACTGTTGTGTTATGCAAAATTTTCAGCCCCACAGTTGACAATGTCCCTGGCAGTAGCACATGACCCCCCAAAATTCCCCTCTTTTTGTAAAGTTGAGCTTGTTGAAGTCCGTTCTTTGAGGCATATGTGCATGTGTGCAAGTGTGTGCACACAAACACAGACATACATGTATTACACATTCACAGTTCTATATATAGATACTTATATACACATATACATATATATGTACACTTACATACATTCATGCATATAGACAAAACTGCACATATATATATACAGACATACACACATCCATACACAATACAAAATTCATTATATATACAGTATGTACATACATATGTATATACATAAACAAATATGTATGCATATATGTATGGCAAGAAAATATATGTTTGAATGTTTCTCCATGTATACACATATACAAAAAGATGTCTGTCTTATGTATGCATGTTATTCTTTTAGTGTCAAGTGTCTCAGCTTGTGAATAATTTTATCGTTATATGTAAATAGATGATTTAAGTTATCATACCTTATTTTCATTTATTTTTGTCTGTCTATTTTTAATTCTCATAGTTTGCCTGTTTACATTCTGGAAGTTATTCTCAGGGTGCAGGCCTAGCCAAACCAGAGGAAATATAACTGCTCTCTCTCTCTCTCTCTCTCTCTCTCTCTCTCTCTCTCTCTCTCTCTCTCTCTCTCTCTCTCTCTCTCTCTCTCTCTCTCTCTCTCTCTCATATTCTCATTCTCACTCTTGCTCTCATTCTCTCTGTCTCTCTCTCTCTCTCTCTCTCTCTCTCTCTCTCTCTCTCTCTCTCTCTCTCTCTCTCTCTCTCTCTCTCTCTCTCTCTCTCTCTCTCTCTCTCTCTCTCTCTCTCTCTCTCTCTCTCTCTCTCTCTCTCTCTCTCTCTCTCTCTCTCTCTCTCTCTCTCTCTCTCTCTCTCTCTCTCTCTCTCTCTATCTCTCCCTCCTCCCTCCCCCCTCCCTCCCTCCCTCCCTCCCTCCCTTTCTCACTCGCTCATTCCTTCCCTCCCTCCTCCCTTACTCAGTCACTCCTTCACTCCTCCCTCCCCCCACTCCCTCTCTCTTTCTCTTTCTCTCTCCCTCTCAATATACACAGTTCCTCTTTACACAGCTACTTTTTTTTTGTAGGTGAAAAAGTGATAAGAATTTCAAGAAGCAGCAAAAATAAGCATTTTTTGTTTTGTTTTGTTTCGTTTCCTTTCTTCATTTCTTTCTAAATGTTCTTTTTTCTCTCTGGTTCTCTGTTTTCTTTGTAAAGGAATGTTGATGTCATTGAAGTTTATTGTGCTTTTCCTAAATCAAAAGGGATCTTGCCAGTCTCCAGTGGTTGTTCATAGTCTGAAGTGTGTCTGTACCACAGATTATGAATTTTGGTGTGAGGTTGTGTTCCTTAAAGGGTTGGGGTTGCTGGTTGTATAGATGTATGGGTTTATAGAAAAGATTTATTCATAAATATTAAAGCTTTCTTACAGGCATTAGAGAACACGTGTATTCGACACATGACATCATGATACAAAACCCATGATCATATATACATCGTAATGGTTAATAACAGTTACACATGATTTTTAAATAAATGAATCAAGATTGAAATTGGAAATGTGTTTTTGTTGATCTGCAAAAGATAGTATTGGTCATGTAAATAAATTCGAAACCTTTTCATTATTCACTTTAGGATCATGAGGAATATGTCTCCATATTTATGAAATGTATTTTTTACATTATAATGTAGTTATCTGCTTCATGAACGAAATTGTTTCCAAGTATGGCAGAGGCTTGCTTTTTAAACCTGAGCTATGAATTCATTAATGTAATTAAGGTAAGATTTGATGAGTAAAATATCATCATCACTGCTGTTAGTTATTTATTATTTTTATTGTTATTATTATTATTGTTGTTGTTGTTATTGTTATGACAATGGTGATAATGATTATTATTGTTATAATGATTTTTTTTTTTTGCTATCTTCAGTATCATCATTATTTATTATATTATTACTATTATATGTTATGTCTGTCAATTACTTTTAGTATAATGATTATTATTATCATTATTGTATTGATATATTGATCAATTATTATTACTATGAATAGTATCATCATCATATTCAATATTATTATTATTATTATTATTATTATTATTATTATTATTTTTATTATCATCATCGTTGTTGTTATTGTTAATGTTATTGTGCTTACAATGTTATTGTTATTATTATTATTATTATTATTATTATTTTTATTATTATTATTATTATTATTACTAGTATCATTATCACTTTATATGTATCTGGGGTGTGGATGCATGTGAGTTTTGATTTGCCTGTGTATGGGTGTGTATGACTTTGTTTCTTTTTTTTTCTCTGTCATGAGTAAAAATATGATATGGCCTTTATAGGTATATTTGTGTTAGAGAAAAATAGGTAGATAGATGGATGAAGGAACTTTTTTTAAATTCTTAGATTATAACAAATACTATTTTGGGAAAGCTTGTTTACTGAAAAGGACAACAAAGAAATAAAACGTCATAAATCAGTTCAAAAAGAAATATGTTCCTTTTTTTAGGTAACAGGTAAGCCTCCCTTTAACATGGGGGAGATAATATATTTCAAGTTACAATGTTTACAATAACATGTAATGTCTGGATATCCATTATGAAGTATGTAAATTGATGATAAAAGGAAAATTATATATTTGATTTAGGCATGCATTGCTTGACTATGATGCTCATTATAAGTGCTTTCTTGTTTGAAGCAATTGTCCCATTGTCCATGAGAATAGGCATGCTTCCAGGCAGCATAGGTATAGGTGGTGCTAAATTTTGATGCTGTGTTCAAGCCATTTGCATAGCTTTATTTCATAGTCACTTGCACATTGAGGGGTCAGAGATTTCTAGAGCAGTAGCTGAATGTACTTTAAAGAAAAAGGGTTTAATTTAAGTCTGTGTTTGTTTGTTTTGATGGTGTGTGTGGGGGTGCGTTTGTGCCTGTGTTTGTGTGTAGTTGTGATCACTAAGAAAAATGAACAGGGACACTGGCATATATACACTGACAAAACTTTAATCAAATATTTTTTGTTTGCATTGGTAAAAGTTATGGAATATCACACTTAAGCACGATGTGAATACATATAAAGTAAATTCCACATGTAGCCTTATGCATTTATGTAAAGGGTAAATAGTAACAAAATATGCATGTATGTAGATATACACATAGAATTAATCTTACACAGGCAGTCCCAAAGTGAAGTTCAGGAAGTGATCCACAGCAGAATCAGTTTAGAGATGACATACATGTTTAGGTATTTGCACATATTGCACACATAGAACTTGCATGTGAGTACATAATATTCATTTACAACACACACTCACACTCACTCACTCTTACACACACTCACACTCACACTCACACACACTCATACACACTCTCACACACTCACACACACTCACACACACACACACACTCACACACACACACACACACACACACACACACACACACACACACACACACACACACACACACACACACACATATGTACACACACACACACACACATGCACACACACACATACACGCATGCACATGGGCACACACAAAAAACACACACAATCCCACATGCACATAGGCACACAAAAAAAACACACACACACACACACACATGCATATATACATATGATCATGGTCACACCCCAACTCAAACTAAGATTTATACCTACACTCAGATTTATACGCTCACAGACACTTAGAGATTACCAGGCATGAACACACACACATGAAGACGCACATATATATTATATAGTGTATTTCAGATATTAGAGATTAAATTGTCATGTAAATAATAATGTCATTATTCAGAGTTTTGAATGTCTGCAAATGTCCACCATCATAATCTTATATGATCATGCTCAAGGATTTGTTTTGAGTAACTGGTACAGTATTTAAATGATTTCTGTTTCATTTCACCATTAAGATAGTTTACTCTTTTGTATACATCATTTCATAATGTAAGTCTACTTAAGGATATTCACTCAAGGCCAGTGTGATGTTTTATATATGAATGATTAAGATACTCCTCTCATGTCCACTTTCATCATGCAGCTGTGTACCATGTGTGACTTCACCGAGACAAATCTGAGACTCGAAGTGTGTGTGTCTTTCATGCACAGAGCACTGCAATTCAACCACCAGGACAGCAATAGTGTTAGGTTTTTCCCATAAGCAGGTAGCCAGTCTGCCAGCTGGTCGCCTCAGTTAGTCAGTCAGTCAGTAACTTTCATGTGAAATCATTACATAGTTCTTTGCAGTGGAAATGCAATAGCTCCAATGGCTGAAAAGCCTGAGTTTTGGCATTTCTTGATATCCTATTTGTTTCAGTGTGCTGGCATTCCCTTTATATATATGTATATATATATATACATCAAAGGTTTATCACACATATAAGGGGGCATCCCAAATGTAATTTTTCCTGTATCCTATTGCGTATTATTTGTTGCCTCTGCTTTGATTTCTCTTTCCTGCCATTAGCTTTCTGAACTACAGAAGGCCTTTGGTCCAGTGTCTTCACTGCCCCACCATTTGGTCACTGCCAGGATTACCTTGAGTTGGAACATGACATCATTTGTTTGGTGTGAAACTTAGTGCTGCTTTTTCTCTGAGATGCATTTTTTGAAAATTAAGTATCTGGAATGGATAATGGAAGAAAGGTTGAGATTTTAATTCTTTTTTTTTTTTTTTTTTTTTTTTTAGATTATTATTGGCTCCAGTGATGATTATTTATATGATTTTTAGTTATCAGCTAATGAGGTTACCTCATGGCTTGTCCTTATTATGTAGTTGCTAATCAGTTGTCTTCAAATATTTGTTTTAATGACAGTTATTTTAATTGATTAAATTTCAGCTTATTTGATGTAAGACAACCACACTGCTTTATGTGTAAAACTGATAGTTGTGCAGGTAGATCTTTGGTGGATGGCAGTTTGCAATGTCTGGTATTCTACATACCAACCTCAGCTATGTGCTTTTTTTGCCTTCTTGACAAAAAAAAAAAAAAAAAAAAAAAAGAAAGAAAAAAAAAATCAAGTGGTGTGTGCCATCCTCCTGCTTATTTGATTTTATTTATTTTGTTATTTATCTGTTGACATTGATATTATCGTTTTTCTTTTTCATTATTATTATTTTTCACGTATTCATTTTTCTTTGCGTTCAAGCCGTGTCATCATGTTATGTCTTGATTTTGTTTTCTGTAATAGTGTTGTCATACCAGCGAATCACTGCAGTGTTATTATTTTGAATATCAGTGTGCAAATCATGTTATATCCCTCATGTACAGTGGTATATCATAGGTTTTTCTTTTTTTTCCAGAAGAATTTCCTTGTCATGATTTTCTAGAATCACCTTTTTATTTATTTATTTATTTGTTTATCTATCTATCATTATTTTTTCCATGAATTTTTGTTTTGGTAGCTCAATCCTGCAGCTTTTATTTTGTGGCTCTCCAAATATTCCTTTCACCTCTGTCTCTCCGACTCAATTCACTTCAACTTTCCACAAGCTACACGAAGCCCTATGGGACCTAGGCCTACCAGTGTCATGGAAGGCAGTGTTGTGGAGTTTGCCGCTACCCGAAAAGAGACACCCAACTAGGCAATTTGGCAGCAGTGGTATCAAAGAGATGTGACAATTTTATCAGGGCTAGGATTTTTCGCTGGCCCAGTCATCTCTGCCTCAAGCCAGTAGCCTCACTCCTTAGCGTTTCCATGAACCTCTTACAAGGATTGACAGAGGCGTGTCCGGCAGCATGATGTCGGGTCCGCGAAACTTGGCACTCCCCAGTGCATGAAGACCAGCCTAGGTTCAGCCTTTGTTTTTTTTTTTATGATTTCTCTAATTTCCAGGTATGATTTTTTTCCATAGAGTAATTAATGCAGCATGTCTTCATTTTTTACTGCTGGGCATGCAGTAGTGCATGCCAAGTAGATTTACATGTCTTAACTCCCGTAGACAGACAGATAGAGCAGCAGACCTATAACAGGAAACATCCTGCTGCCCCCCCGTATTTGGAACAGTATCACGTGTCTGCCACGTGTTCCATCTTTTTGGGCAAGTGCATGCAAGTAGTGGCAGCTAGTTATTTCCTTTGTTGGATACTTTTCTACAATGCTGCGTCTCAACACTCCACTCGTCACCTGCTATTGGCACAAGTGCCATGTGTTGTAATATGTAGGCTCAGTCTGTAAATACCAAAGTTACTCCATTCTCTGACTGACTGTGTATAATCAGAATCCTTCCCCTAACAAGGAATTACCAATGTCTTATAAGGCTGACCCAGTACTTTGTATATTGTACAACAGTATCTGTCTTATGCGCATATTTGTTTTTAGAATTTGTTCAATATAAATTTAGTCAATTTTATATTAGTATTTAGGACCCCTGCTAATTTTCTACTGCACTTATAGCATCTCACTTGTGAAATCTTGTCCCATAATATACCATCCCCAAGCCCTTTACTAATTTTTACTTTTGATTTAACAGTAAGTTTGTTTTGCTCCTCCTGTGACCGACACCCCTGGGTTTTGTAACAGGTTGGTAAGAGTAGCCACATAGCCGTACAGCTGTTGTTGTCTTAAAGATGTCGTAATGCTACGTGTTACCCCCTCCCACCCTTGCCTATTTGTTCTAAATTTTAGATACCCTTGAATTCCCAGAAGTAAATCCTAGCTAATTATGTACGTGGTGCTAAGAGATGGAGTGTGTAGACTGTGGCTAGAGCAAGAGGCTAGAATGTTTGTTCTCTGTGCTGCATAGATCATTTCTCTTGGTGGTGACGGGCTAGCGGCCTCAACACTACTGTGGCCCGGTGCCTAGTCTGTTGTGTTCTGGCTGCCACTGCTGTGCACGCAGCTTGCATGTTTCTAGGTCGCCCCGTGCCACTAGGCGTCCGTCACACTGGGCTGCGTCACACCATCCTCACCCAGTCTCCAACAGCCAACAGCCCTCACCTCCTTCGGCCTCAGTCTCCTGTCATTATAACTACTTATTATTATTATTATCATGTCGACATGACTAGTCACTCCTAGTTTTTTTATGTTTGTTTGTTAATAGCACTGTATTACCAGTGACTTGTCTGGTGAGTTTTATTTTTAATTTTTTACGTGTTGCTACTAACATGTACATGATGAGATGTGGATGTTTTACAATGGTGTGGGGGTTTGATTGGATGTCCCGTCCCGTTTGCAGTTGAGAGTAATACGAGCATTCAAGTCAACCCTGGAAGACTTGGAAGAACGGCGGTCGTGCCATAGTTTGCATAGTTTGCGCATCTCGCGCAGTCAGCAGGGCAACCGGCCCATGTCAGACATCAGTTACATAGATGAGGACTCTACGAAAAGCCCAAGTCCCAATAGTGACAAGCGGTGCGGGTCGTGCAACGCAACTGTGCGCCTCGTAACGGCCGTCGAGGAGTCATCACCCACCACGGCTGAGACCGCCCCCCTGGTACCCCCCGGCAGCCCTCCCCCAGGCGGGCCTGCTGCAGCAGCAACCCAGCAGCTGGGGCACCACCGACCCCACACCCACGCCAACACACAAAGTACTAAGTGCTGCCACCACCACCACCACCACCACTTTGCTGTCACTTCCCCTATCCCTCCGCTCCTACAGCCCCTTTCCCCGCACCATTTTAATACTTTGGTGGCCCAGACCCTTCACTCTAACATGGCAGCGCACTCCAGCACACTGCAGCCCGCCTCCCCACCTGCCCCTCCAGATATACCTACCCTTGTTCATGAAACTAGTATCTGACCCCCTCCCCAGGACTGATTGTGGTTTTTTCCACATGATCGTTTTGTAAAATTCCCACAACTCTATCCTTGGGTGATAAGCCTCCTCCGAGTCTGAATCGACCCGCTCATCCTATGTCCTTCCCCAAGAGACTTTCTGGCCATTTGACTTGGCAAAAGTTAGTCCCTTCCAGCCCCAATCTGCTCATCCTACTCCCATCTCAGGCTTAATCATGTGACCCCCACCTAGCCCTCCCACCCCACCTGCAAATGTGCCCCTGCCTTAGTCTATGCACCTGCACAATTGTTTCTATGCATTTGTTCTGTGTTCTAACCATTTTTAGTATTTAAACACAATTTCCTATTAGCTAAAACACTCTAGCTTCCTGTCCCTTTCTTAATTATATTGTTCTGGTATATTTTTTTCTATTTTTCTTTCTTTCTTACTTACTTACTTATTTTCTCGTAGTCCATTAAAACTCCCTGTTTTCTTTAGTTATAGTTACTTGACCTTGGCTCAAGTGGTTACCCTGCTCCCCCTCCCCTCCCGCTGCTGACCTGGCCTGTCCGTGTGGGTGGGTGAGTGTCAGTCATGTGGGCTGAGGGTGTTCCCATGGTGGGCCGAGCGTAGGGTGTGCTGGGGGCCGGGCACTCTGTTGCCTGTCACTTCTTTTGCCTTGAGGCCTGTGAGGCTGAGTGTTGTGGTCTTGCCCTGCCCTTGCCACTTCCCACTGATTGCCACAGCATCTGAGGGTTGTGGTGGTTGGCGGTCTGCAGGCCAGCCTGGCTCCCCGGCGGGACCTTTGCTACAACAGACTGAGACAATATCTCACGTGCACCTCACTAACAACTCCCGCCTCAACTGTTACTAGTCTAGCGTATGCCAGGGTAACTAACACACATCTTGTGTACTAATTTCTAATGCGCAGCTAGAGGAGACGTGGTTTTGCACTGCATGTTGTGTTTTGTGTTGTGTATTTATTTTATTATGTGCAGTTTGCCATGTGGTTATGGAGAGTGCCAAATGCTGAAATGTTTCCCCAGCTTTGGAGAACAGAAAAAAAGAAAGTTTTTAAACAATAGTTTAAATAGTGAGAAAACTCTCTTAAATTTAACTGAAGCAAATCTTGGAGACCATAAAGGAAGCTTGCCCTGGTGGTGACTGAGACCATAGCCTTGATTTTACCCTATCTGTGTGATTGTGTCCCTCTTCCCTGCCTGTCCCATACATTATGTCTTCTTTACCAGAGCTTATTCCTTCATTACTACTTTCTTAGAATTATCATCTTTTACTTGTGTTTGTTCTTTTGGGCTGGGGTAGTTGCTGACACAGATATGGCTGCACACTGGACCCCCAACCGTCATATTGCTAGGGGACTGGAGGTGCAGTAGGGGTCCAGAATTCCCCTTAGGTGTTGAACATCTGCTCACTGAGGTAGGATCCAGGGTTTTATCCCTGGTTCGGCATCATGCCTGTTCCTGGTGCCATGGCAGATAAAGAAGCCAATAATTTTGGACTGGTTCCTCCTCACCCAGGGAGCTGTCTTGTGTCAGCCGCTCATCTTGAAGCTGTCGCCACTGGGTTCACTTTTTACTTTCCAGCCACCATGGAGCCCTTAATGTAGGCTTTGTCTTAAGCTGATCGTAATCTTTGGATGAACATGGTGTTGAGCGTATCATTCTGTTATTTTCCCTGGTAGGAGGATCAGGAAGGAGAAACACATGGGGGTGAGGTATGAACCAGAGCATCTGTTTCTCTCAGCCCCTTGTACCTGAGCTATTCTCAGTGAGTAAGCCACTGTGCTAGACACCTCACCCGCAGCATTAGCCCAAATCTAAGGTCCTCAACATTTAGTGGCTATTAGAGCAGGCCTATTTACAGTATTCACCTGCATAATCAGTTTCTCGCTAGTGTACCCACCGTAGTGACTCTTGCAGCGGTAGTTGTCCATTGGGTTTCCATCATTATTATTTTTAGTCAAGTTGTGCTCTCTGTGCATGAAGATGTGTTTCTTCTTCAACGGTCCCGGAGCCACACAGATCGTGAGTTGGTGTCCTGAGTGTAAGCGTATTAATCCCCGCGTGCCCCTGTAATGTCTAGGCGAGTCCCGGGTAGGTGTGGACACCCCGTGTGTTGTCTGTAGTTTCTACTCCACTACTGCTGCTCCACTATCCCCTGCACACCACACAGTGTACATACACCACCTGGCCCGTACGCCGCGTGCCGCCTGAAACAAGGTGTGTAGAACACAAGGGCGTGTACTGTGGGCGAGTGGGTGACCGCAGCCACCACTTACCAGGCTGTGGGCGCCATTGGCGTGGGAGAGCGAGGCGTGTCCTTGTCTTCTATGCACCTTGCTGTATAATACATCCCTGGCCAGCTCTAACTTACCACTGTAGCCACTCGCCCTCACCACTGTTATTATTATTCTCATGGTTCAGGTCATTGGAGGCACGTTGCAGGAGCGGCTGATACCCGTACCGTATAGCAAGACCTCCACAGACCAGGCTGTAAGCTACACCCCTCTCTCTTGTCTCTTCTTAGACTCATTTTTTGGACTAATGTGATCGCTCGCTCACTTCCCCTCACGTCTCTGCCCTTGATCTGTGCTGTTTGCTTCTTTTCTTTCATGGAAGCTGTAGGCTGGTTGACTTTAATGTCAAATAGAAATGACTTAAGGTAAAATCACTTTAAATGAACCATCCTATCATGCCTCCAAACTGTCTCTTACACAGAACAAAGTACACAGTCCCATTCCCCAGCTATAAGCCAAAGGTAACTCCTTACTAATCTTATTCCAGTCATTAAACATATTCCCTTTAAATGAAAATAATATACCAAGAAAGTTGCATGTCCCTACTCATATCAGTAGAACAAGTTAAAATCATATTGTGTAAGAGACCTCAATTTTCATTGATATTTTACAAATTTAAATCTGTTTTGCTTCTATCCAGCCATGTATCACTTCCTTATTCCTGTTTCCCGCATGACTCTAGAGCGACTAGTGACATAGACCTAGGTTGTTTAGATGGCACAGTTAGTTTAGACTTGCCTGTTTTGTTAAGTGTTTTATATTGTGGCGAGAAAGTCAGGTTTTTATGTGTCAAGTCTACAGTTTTTACCTCTTTTTTGGTATTTGTCGTCAGGAGTAATAAATGGCAGCCAGTGTTTCTATGTGTCATTCTTGTTTCTTAGATCTTAGATCTTGGTGTGAATGGTAAGCATGTTAGCATGAATTTTGTGTACATGTCCTCGTTAGTGTGTGTAACCAAATAATATTGATGTTGTTGACCTGTCCATCTAATCCCAAGACCCTGTGTTGTGAATGACCCTGAGTGGGTGTGGGTATGTTGCAACTGCCCACACCTACCCAGTCTGAGTGTTTGTGTGAGTTAACATATGGTGCACGCACCACAAATGGCACATGCCCCGGACTGGCTTCCTGCCGCCGCCGCTAAAAGACAGTTCCTGAAATGTTGTTTTTCTAATAACTGTGCATATGTACTTACAAAGTCTACTGCTGCTGCTGTTAATTGTGTGCCAAAAGCGCTAGCAGCAGCAGCAGCAGCAGTGGTAGGAGAGGACAGATGAGGGCGGTAGGGGGTTGTTATCCGGGTGCGCGCATGCCGCATGAGCCGCGCACTATGGAGAGCCTCCAGCCAACATGCAGTGCCCACGTTCTCTGGCTGCCAACTTTGTCTTGATGTCTGGTGTGTGTCCATCGGCGTAGGAGCTACAGAGCTCCGCCTGTCGTGTAGATCCTATGGCAGCCAGCAACACTCTCTCAAGTACTCTGTATAAGTGCACGTTCTATTTACTGTTAACAATTTTTACCTTTCATATTTAATCGACTTTTGAATGTTTATATTCTGTATTTTCTTACATACTAACCATCATAACTTCTTCGTTGTATTGGCACCTAACAGGCTGAAAAAGCCACCTAATGAAGATGCAGTACACGGTTCAAGTTTGGCATGGGATCTTTGCAATGAGCATGACTTTTTGCTTGTGTGTGCGAGCGGCGGGTGAGCGTCCTTGCCCCCGCCGCTCCTGCTGACGCTGTAACGCTCCGTGGTTGGCAGCAAGGCACACTCCTCACCCTCTCACTTGTCAGCAGCTCTCACAGTAACCCTCACAGTCAAGTTTAAAGACTTCGTCATATCAGAGAACATTTTTTTGCAATTTATGTCTCATGTTTCAGTGAAAAGTCAAAATTTATGTTTTTTTTAATCCCATGATTCATTCCTTTAAGTGTTGAAGTGCCTTGGACTGATGTAGTTAGTTTTTTCTCTTTGTTTGGTGTTCTGTACGTGGTTTAGTTGTGTCCAAGGCATATGTTAATTGACGCCATACACCTTTTAAAATGACCTTTGTGGCCTCTGTTTCAGATTCGAGTAGTTAATGCGTTTCGGCAGGGGCTTGATGCACGGCCTTCCAACCCAAACCTGGCGGCAGTGCTGAAGAAGCAGACGTCCCTGAGCAAACGGTTGTCCCAGGGGTCTTCACTGGAGTATGCCGACATGTGTCCGGATCCAGAAGAATTAACAGTGCCAGAGATCGACGTTGAGCGTTTATCCTCACACAGTCACACCGAGACTGCTGTGTAGGCCCTAGTGTAGGCCCCCATGCCGCTTTCTCAGGGCCAACTGCACCTCCAGCAGCAGTAGCAGCACTGGCAGCAACAGTAGTGTGATCAGCAGCAGCAGCAGCAGAGTTTGGCATGGGATCTTTGCAATGAGCATGACTTTTTGCTTGTGTGTGCGAGCGGCGGGTGAGCGTCCTTGCCCCCGCCGCTCCTGCTGACGCTGTAACGCTCCGTGGTTGGCAGCAAGGCACACTCCTCACCCTCTCACTTGTCAGCAGCTCTCACAGTAACCCTCACAGTCAAGTTTAAAGACTTCGTCATATCAGAGAACATTTTTTTGCAATTTATGTCTCATGTTTCAGTGAAAAGTCAAAATTTATGTTTTTTTTAATCCCATGATTCATTCCTTTAAGTGTTGAAGTGCCTTGGACTGATGTAGTTAGTTTTTTCTCTTTGTTTGGTGTTCTGTACGTGGTTTAGTTGTGTCCAAGGCATATGTTAATTGACGCCATACACCTTTTAAAATGACCTTTGTGGCCTCTGTTTCAGATTCGAGTAGTTAATGCGTTTCGGCAGGGGCTTGATGCACGGCCTTCCAACCCAAACCTGGCGGCAGTGCTGAAGAAGCAGCAGCAGCAACAGCCATTAGCCACTACCGTAGTAGCTAGCGGGTGCCACCTGTGGTGTGGTGCCTAGGTGCTGGGCTCCGTCGCGACTGACAATGACTGACTGCGATAATCAGGGTGGCTCGGGCGGGCTAAGGCGGTGACAGTTCATGTTTGGGAGAGAGAGAGAGAAAAAAAAACTGTGGGTGCTGTGCACACCTGTTATTGGTGGCGGTGGGCTGCCTGGGCTCCCGTGAGTTGTCTTCCTGGGGGCCTGCTGTCCTGCATCTACCCAGCCTGAACACACCCCTTAAGGGGCATGCCCAACTGTCCCTCCGCCTGTGCCCACCTCTGGTGCACACCCACACTCACTGGTGTAAGCCAAGGACTCACTTTAACAGTGTGCCGCCGCGCCCGTTGTTTCATCATGTCCTACTGTTAATAGTCTTGTGTATAGTAAGGGTTGTTATTGCATAGTCTACCAATTATAGATATGGTAAAGGGTTTTTGCCAGAGGGTTAGATCTGTTGAACAATACTAAGGACAAATTACCATTATACCTGTAGTCAAAGGACGTTTTAAAACTCTCTAAAGAAGTTGTGGAAACTTGTATATTCATGAATGTTCTTGGTTCTTGTTTTCTAAAACCATGTTGGCTGTTCCTGATACTAGAGTCTATACATCTCTGTTTTGTTTATGTTTGGCAGTATTGTTTTGTCCATTTGCTGTGTATGGAAGATGAGACCTAGGTTGTATGACTGGTGGTACCTCTTAGCTTAAGTGGTATGATCGTTGCATTGCTACAAGTTGTGTGGTGGAGCCAGCCTTGTTATGAGCCCGGCTTCACAACACAACCACTACTGATGTCTAGGTTTAATCAGACATCTTTGCATTTAATACTAATAATCCTAACATCATGGGGGTCGTTTTTATGGAGCAATAGTTGTTTTGAAGTATATATAATAGTGATGATGCTTGTCAATAATTCAATCACTGAAGGTAATTGTCATGTTATGTAATTAACAATATTACAAATGAACTGGTGCACGGTTGTTCACGACCTTATCACCTGTTATAATGTTGGCTAGCCAATGGAACCAATTTTATTTGTTGTGCCCATGTGAGGAGCACTCCAGAGGCCTGCAATTGTGTACGGCCACCCTGGGAGTAAGCCCTAGGACTTTTTCATGCCCCTGCAAGCACTAAGTACTGACCTTGGATATTTCCTTGGATCTAGCTTCAGTGCTCTTGTTAAAAAATATGGAAACCCATAGGGGAGCTTGACTTTACCCATGGAAATATGGCATTTAAACTTGCCAGTCAACATCCCCGACCCCACTAATCCCACCACCTGCTCTTATCCCCCCTAATCCCCCCCTCCCCCTCTGTCTTTCCTCCCCTCTCCATTCTCCATCACCATTCCCAGAATCCCCTTCCCCTAACTATCACATTTCACCACTCCAGGTTGACTCGATGTCTGTTTGCGTGGTCTGCCCTCTACCATCCTGTTCTTAGGTGTGGCAAATATGCATTAGTTTTAAGTCAGTTCTCTGGGCTGTTCACCAAACCATTACACATAACAAATTGTAGTCAATAGCGAACAGTTATTTCATTCTTTTCCGTAGAGAAAGTGAAGGATTTTCTAAATACTGAAATGTTGTAAATCCAATAAATGTTAATGTAAAATGGTAGAGATAACCAAGATAAACCTTCTGTAAATCTTCAGTAAATCTTCAGTCATTTTGTGATGCTCGTCTCTTGACATGTCAGCCACGACACTCCTTAACCTTATGTTTGTCAACTAATTCTAGGACTGAGGAAGTCTAAGATCACTGGAAGTTTGATAAGAAAAAGG